TTTCCATTCATTTTCTCTGATTCAGTTTCCTTTTATAATTCACAGCAGCTGCCTACTGATCTCTCATGCAGCACCTATTCTGTCTTTTCTTGAACTACTTGTTACCAATTCAGGAAATTGTACTTTTCTTTCTTTTCTAGGATCTCTACTCAATTCTTGTATTCTGTTAAATTTTTGCAACTTTTAATCTGTTTCTCTGTAGTTCTGTTTTTCACTTTATCAATTAACCAGAGGTGTTTAAACGTTTTCCTGTCCAACTTTGATGTTTAGGTCACCTGCAGTGCTAATCCTTTTGTTTAATTTTTCTCTTGGATTCAGTCATATGGTCACCTTTCTCAGTGCTTCTAGAAATTTCTGATTGACTATCAATCTGTGTGCTTAGAAACTTTTACCGTCGTCTGGCGATTTTCCTTTCTTCAGCAGACATCCACTCTTTGCTCCTCAAAGGAGAACTCTTGTCACTAAGCTCATTTGCAAAGAAAATTGATGCCCAAGGGGACTGCAGACTAATAATCTGTCTTCTCCCTCTGGCTTGTTCCTGTTCATTGGTAGAACCTTCTACCTACTTGCAACTCCAGGCCTGGAGAATTAACTCGGGCCTTTTCTGCCAGGGACCCTGTTGCCATTAAGACCTGTGTTATAGAGATATCTGTTTTTATTTTCAGGGGCTCCTTGCCTCTTAGCCTTGCCTCTTTAGAATTATTTAAATGTCTTTAGGAATAAATAACACAGGGGAGCTATCTTAATGTGTTGTACAGCAGTGGGACTCTATCCTGAGAATCCCAAGTGACCCCACAAACCCAACTCATGATCCTTCTGCCTCAGCCTCCTGAGTAGCTGGGATTACAGGCACACAGCGCATATGCTACACTCTTCTATGACAGGCAGCATCACCACACCCATGTGTGAGCAACGCCTGGTGCTGTTATACTGGCCACAAAGACATCACAGTGGGCTACCAAATCACCATGTGACGGGAAGTTTTAGCTCCATCATAATCCTATGGGATCACTACCACATATATTGCCATCACTGAGTGAAGTACCTTTATGCAGTGCATGGCAACATTTGGAGTTGTCTGTACCTTCTGCTGAGTTGTTCTGGGAACCTAAAACTGCTCTAAAACATTCAAATGTATTTTAAAACACTGCGTGTAGCAGGATCACTTCTTTGCCCTTCTTCTCACTGACACACTGGTCCTCAGGCTTCCAGTCTGTCTCTTGAGCCTCACTGGACCTCCGGTGCACTCCGCTGCACTCAGGGACAGTGTTCTGCCTGCCAAGTCCTGTGTTTTCACCTCTGTCCCTTTGCCAGAGTGAACCAACTGCCTCCAGAGCAGATGTGATGCAGAACATCGGTGGCCAACAGGCAAGAATGACCCAGGAACTTTTCCAAGGTTCTACACAAAGTTATCCACTTGCATTTGATCCAATTTTGGAAATTTTGTTTTTTTCAAAATACATTTATTTTTGTATAAAATACGTAATACACAATAAGTGCATTCATCATGGGGAAGGGGCACAGGTATGTTTCAGATCTTAATCTTCTCCACTTTCCCATTCCTTCCCCAGTCCTGCATTCCATGGTCCCCAGACCTCCTACTTATAAAGAGTAGAAGCCTTCCTCAAAGCTGCCCTGCCACCCCTGAAAGTAGAATGTCTTTCTTTCCACTATAATGCTTCATTATCTGAAGCATAGGTCTGTCGTAGTTCTTGCTTATGTGCTTCAGAGCATAGGTTTGGTTTAAAAAGGCGTATCTATCAGTTTAACAACAAATTTCCCTGTATTTTTTTTTCACAAAACAAGGTGGAGATAAATACTTCTTGAAGAACTAAAAATAAATTTTGAAGCATACTGAGGGGTGGTTATAAGTATTTAGTATAATTAGTGTTTGACTGCTGTTAGTAGAAGTGTCTACAATAAGGACACTGCGTCTCTACTTGATCTTATGTACATATCATAATATGGATGAGTTATAGCAGACAACTATAACAAAATGAATTAAACTTTATTCTTAATTAATGATTAATTAGATCAATTAATAATTATTCCTCATTAGATTCCTAAAGCTGTCTTCAAGAAATTTATGTGCATATTGCCTGAAATTGTGGAAATGACTGTAACTAAGAAATAAGAATATATCTATAACTCTGAAATTAAAAAAACACTTTGTCTCTAATTTGAGCAACAAAATGAGTAAACTAGTATTGCATTATAACTGAGTATAAAATAAGTATTAGAATAATCAGAATATTAATCATATAAATAAATGATTGAATAGATAAAGAATTAGACAAATACTCTATGCGGATGGATTCCAGACACTTCAGGGCGATGCTGTCTGCTGCAGGAGGTACAGGTGTTTCCCAATCCCTTAGGGATGGACTGGGCACAGTAATATGTTTTTAAACAGTACAATAAATAAGGGAAAGACAATCTTACATTGTGTGGTAGACTGACAATTTGGTGGTCAACTTGTAACACCTAGCTGAGCTGAATCAACGTGGTGCTGGGTATGGGAGGCCCATCTGACGATTGTCGCCAACAACGTAAAAAGGAGAACTGGAGAAGAAGAGGGTGTGCTGTTGATTCTCCTGAAGAAGCTTGTCGTGCTGGCTTTGCTAATATAGAGTTGGCTGCTCTTGTTTGAGGAGCTCGGGACCTTGTTGTTGCTGGGAATGGCTACGGTTCACTCTGGGGGTGCTCTGGTCCTTACTTTGAGCATCGTTTCCTGGCTCTGGTGGGGAGGGTGGTGCACTGCTTAATGTCCTGGAGAAGCTTGTTGGGCTGGCTTTCCTGATATGAACTCAGCTCTTTTCATTGTCGGAGGAACGCGGGACCTCGCTGTTGCTCAGGATGGTTGTGGTACTTTTGGGGGAGCTCTGGTCCTTACCTTGAGTGTCACTTCCTGGCTCCAGTGCAGATCCTTCAGCCTGCTGGCACAAATCCTTCATCCCTCTGGCCCGGAGTTTCTAGCTTCTACCACTGACCTTTGGACTTTCCCATCATGGATCTGTGAAACAAAATTACGTGAGACATCGTTGTGAGCCCTTGGCCTCCAATTGGACTCATGGGAGGCATTGTCATGGGCTCTAGGTCTTCAGGTGGACTCCTGCAGGACATTGCTGTGGGATCCAGGCCCTTAGCTGGGTTCTTTAGGTGTTTAGTGTGTGGACAGATTTCCTGCACTTCTTTGTACTTGACTCTTTGGCTGATTACTATGAAATAATCCTATAAGTTATGTGTCCTGTATTAAATTCTTTCCCTTGCAAACCCTGACTGCAACTCAGTGTGAAAACCAACACACACTGCCCCAACTATGTGATCAAAGTCCACCTCCATGGTGACCACTCAGGTTGCAAGTGTGCACACTCAAGGTGAGGTGAGGAGAGGGTGCTTCACCTCTGAGGACTCCTCCCCAAACAAAGAGGTCCCCTCCAATCTTGACAAAGACATCAGTCACATCCCAAAGAGAAGCATAGTATGAAAACTTGATCAGCGCTCCTCAGAAGTGCAGAGATCATCAAAAAGAAGAAATGCCTGAGAAACTCACATTCTGCTACAGCCTAAAGAGAAGTGTGGACCAAGTGTAATGTGGCACCCTGGGTGGGATTCTGGAAGAGAAGATGACATTAAGTAAAAATAGAGAAAAGCTTGATAAAATGTTCCTTTAGTAATGGCAATGGATGGATATTGCTTCATCACACTACTGAAACGTGTAACGCACCAACACCAGAGACTGGGTGTGATGTGTGTAAAACTCTGAACTGTCTTTGCAACGCTTTTGTGAACTAAGACTATTGTAAAATTTTAGAAAAGGTTTATCTAAAAAGCAGGTTGGTTTCTCACACCTTTTAAAGGAGAAATATGGTAAGACAATGAAATATCACTCTTGTGTTCTTTATTCTTAATACACATAGTCTGTCACAAATTCCCAGACAGGTGCTATGCTAAGGTGAGTTTTTTGTGTTATCATGACTTCAAATTTTACTTTGTAATAACAAGTCTATATAAGTGATATGTACATAGACTACCACCAAAGCTAACCAACATTTACTTGTGTTTTAAATGTAACGTATTATTTCATCAAATATATTTTGTACTTTTGGCATGGAGGCTATTGGCAATAGTAACACACGCACTGAGGGAACTCTTACCAAAATGCAAGTCCACAAACATTTTAAATACACTTCTGGCTATGTGCTATTTGTAGCTTGGCAATTCCTCTTCCCATCCTTTCTCCTCCTTTTATAATATGACTTTTGATACACTGAATGCATTTGGAATATCTTTAAATAACCTCTTCCTTTGTCTTTACAAAGGTATTTTTATTTCAATAATGAAATCTAGCTTTAGAGTAGCTTTGCATTAGTTAGTGAAAGCCACATGGCTTTTAATTAAGCATTCATCTCTTCTATGATGATTGCTGGGTTGACAGCTTTACGACTGACATTTCAACATCATGGATTTTAGTCTAATCACTTCTAATAATGCTCAGATCACAGTCTTCTTCAATTTTATTTATCTATATAATTTTAAAATGTCATTTAAAATACTATAAAACTACCTGCATTTGACAGAAGCAATAGGCATAGAAATAAAGGAAAATCTATAATTTTCGTTGCAGGTGCAAACTGCATAGGCGAACGTGGGCAGACCCTGTACCTCCTCTACGAGGCCAGCAGTCACTTCTGTCTAAACTGCCATGCCTTTTTCTCTCCATGGTTTAAGCTGAAGACATCATCTAATTAAATTTCTATGTAGTGTGAGTAGACCTGGAATCCATCCAACTCCAGTCCTTGAGAAAAGCTGCTCGCTACACTCTATGTAATCATTAATTTAATTTTTCCAGATAGTATATTTTACAGACATGCATATCCCTTCATCTTTTGTGAGACACTCACAGAATGATTTACTAAAGGAACTTTTCTTCCCTCCAGAAAAATAATTTTAAAATAGATTCCCCTGAGAGCCCTAGACACAAAGATGTTGACATGTTATGCCTCTGAGCAATGTAATTTAATGCTTAGGAAACGCCCAGCGCTGGGTTCTGACCGTCAATATTTCTGAAAAAAAAAAAAAAAAAAATAGACTTTACAATGAGACCATTTACTTTCTTAGCATAGATTATCAAATAAAAAGAGTGAGTTGGGCAATTATGCAGCCTCTAGCAACTCACATCAGAAATAGAAATAACCCAGATTCAAAAATAACTTACGGGCCCATCAGTCAATCAACTGAAGATGCTACTGAAAAAAGACCTACACATCTGAGTCACAGCAGAGACGCCTATTTTTGTGGAGGGCTCTGCTGACAAACACTGCAGCTGCGCGGGCCCTAAGAAAGGCTGCAGCCTGGGTGGCAGAAAGGAGGAGGCCGGGCCCAGTGAGCCCTGCAGACCCACACGCCAGCGCGAAGCAAAGGCCCATCGGACTATTTTTAGACGACCACAATTGTCCAGGGAGGCTTGGGGGCACACAGGTTGCACAACTGTGTTCTTACATAAACATATATTTGGATTAGTGTCATAAAACCGTACACAACTGGGTTTTGTCCAAAGCCCGACAGCCTGACTGCGGGGTCCTGAGGATAAAGGCAACTGGTGGGCTGACGGGGAAGGGAAAAGAGTCTGTTCAAGGCCCTGAAGAACGCAAGCCGTAGAATTGCTTGTGGCCCTGAGACCTCCACACAGGGCCTCTCCTTGCCTCCTTCTCTGCCTGAGTAATCAGAGTCCAGAGCTAGATGTGCAGAGGCTGCTTTGGCTGGGAAGGGCCGAGGTACATCTGGGAGGTGGGCAAAGGCTGTGCTTCAGATTGGAGCACTTTTGCAAGGCCCTGGTTGGGGCAGGGGGATTGCACTTGCTTACCGTGTGGGAGGCCTCGGAGTCAACCCCCAGCAGTGCTGAGTAAATAAATAAAATAAGAACAAAGGCTCTGGTCAGCAAGTCCCCACACACTGTACCTCAGATAGGGGTCCATGAAAGTGGATTCAGTGCATTCCTTCAGATTATTCCGAGACAGTGAGCAGACAACTGACTCCATCTCTCTTGAGAGTGAAATTAGTTTGCAAAATCACTTTGGTTCTTAGAAAGTAAGCTGCAAACATATATTTGAAATGTGACCTGAGGATTATGATCGTAAAGATGATGTGACTACGGACAGATTCAGTCCCCACGGCACAGGGGAGTCTTGAAAGAAGATACCAGGCGGATGGTGACGGAGGCTCCATGTTGTTCAGAAGCCCTGGGAAGAGAAAGAGCAACTGTGGGAGCAATCTGGAGACTGGGACAAAGTTGAAACTACCTGCCCAGTGCTCCTTAAAACTGCAAGGTCACTGCAACCAAAAGCGTGAAATATTCCAGTGACTCTTACAGCCCGGAGGAGTCGTGGGAGACATGACATCTAAATGTCATGTGGGGTCTGAAGAGGACACTTAAACTTTTCCCTAAGAACATTAGGGAAAAGCCAAGGACATCGGAACGAGGTATGGACATCGGTTCATAATGATCTACATGGACTTGTTGGTCATAACAAAATATCCAGGCGATATAAGATGTTAACAATAGCGGAAGTGTGCATGGGGCATATGGCAACTATGTATTATCTTCACAACTTGGGGGGGGTGCCTCTTTAATTATTCCAAGTAAAATATTTATTTTAAAAAGATATATAAACTTACAGCTCTCCAGTGGGCCTTTTGCTCTCTCCTCCATCAAAGAGCTGACAGGGGCAGGGTAGGAGAAGGGATATCCTTAAGGAGGCAAGGATGAAGCCCTGGTGAGACCCTCTTCCTCCCCGTCCTTCTGCAATGGAGAAGACAGTGCCTCTTGTGGTCCAGGATATTGTGGTTGTTATGGTTTGTGTCTGGGTGTCCCCCAAAAGCCTCATGCAGCCATGGGGCAGGCTTTTAGAGTTTGATTATGGGTGTCAGAGCTGCAGCCGCCCTGGGGTGGATAGTTTGCATATGTAAGGGAGAGGAAGAGGGTGCTTCTGGCCATTTCTGCCCTGGTGTGTGTTTGTTGCTTTGCTGTGTTCTGCGCCAGGAGCTGTAGCCCTCTGCCATGTGCCACTCTGCCTTGTAACCTGCCAAGTATGGACTGAAACCTCCACAAACTGTAAGCGAAATAAACCTTTCCTTCCTAAATTTTGGGTGTCAGATATTTTGTCCAAGCGAAGAGAGAAAGGTAACCAAAACAGTGGTCCAAAAGGCACTTTGACCCTGGAGAGGCTTGAATGCACTCAGCAGGGACGCAGGCACTCCTGCAGGGGCAAAGAGGATGGAAGACAGGAGCCCTGGGCCAGTTGTCGAGAGCCAGGATGCCTGGCTACTGTAATGGTTACCCTGAAATTACTTTCCACCTAAAATGAAATATATGTGCTCTCACAAAGGCAGTAGGAAGCATTTAAAGTGAGGCTTGTTTTTAAAACCATCCGTGGCTCTTTATGAGTGCACTGTGAGGTCATGGCCGTGGTCAAAAACACAGCAAATGTAGGAGAGATGTATCATCTTTTGTCCACACTTAGGTAAGCAATAAACATTTAGAAAATTTCAGGGTGCTGCTGTCAAGTGCCAGTGCCACCAGCTGCAGCAGCCGCGGCAACCCAAGGCTAAATAAACCCGAGAGAGGAGTCTCTCTGAGTCAGGGTCTCTGCCCACTGAAGCGGGCTGGAGGTGAACCGAGGTCAAGGAGCAGCCGCAGGATGAATCACCGGCTCCTGCCTCACTTGAGAGGAGCCCTGCCCACTCACACCTGATTTTACTTCCGTGTACCTGCTCTTGGGCTGCCTCTGCTTGCACCAGTGCCCTGAACTTCTGGCATGACGGAGCCTCCTGCTAGGTTTCTCTCTTGCAGGGAGAGCTGATCACTTTTTGGGCTGCTGGGCAGATTTGCAGCAGCTAGAGGGAAAGTGTGTGTGCTGACAGAGTGGCCTTGGGGACACGCAGGCATCCTTACTGAACACTGGATGCAGGCAGAGCTTAGTGGAGAAAAGTCAGAATCTTCCAGAGCGTCTTCTTGTACTCCCCACCATGCTCCTGAAAATAATGCCGTCCTCTCCCTGAGAGAATAGGGTGTCCGGCCCCGGACCGAGGGTCATCTTGGGTATGTGTCGCTGTTACAGACAAGAGTGTCTTTCATCAGACCTACTCACTGGTGCAGAGTGGTGAAATATCACAGGGCGTCTGTGTAGACTGGGACCTGCCATGAGAGGCTCTGTTCTCCCACTCCAGCTGTACCAGCCGGCTCCCACAGAATTGGTAACTGAAGAGGTCTGGTGCTGGGTATAGGGTCTGAGGGGTACTTTGGGGCTTCTGTGTTTCTGCCATGTGCCAGCACCAGTTGGTAAATAGTTTGAGCATTGCCCATGGTTCTGCGGGGTGCAGAGTTGCCAAAGATGGACGATCCAAACTTTGGAAGTGGGGAGCAGGGCTTGAGCACCCAGATATTCTGATGACTTGCCAGATCGGGAACCAAGGACCAAGACCTCACCATTCTGATTTTTT